GAGAGAGAGAGAGAGAGAGAGAGAGAGAGAGAGAGAGAGAGAGAGAGAGAGATATTCATGAACCAGGGATAAAATGTAAGACCAAAAGGTACATCCCCAGAGACCTATACCCTCCATCCACACCCTGTCTGGCTACAGCTTCCTCTGGATTAATCCACTGTTTATGTCATATCTCTATAATCTACTTACTTCATCTCTGAAATTCCTTGAATTTTCTCACACATGAGCTTTTGGGGACACCTCTTATCTAAACCATAAAAGATGGCTTTTTATTAATGCTTCTATCTCTTGCTAGTTATTGGTCAGTATAAGTTTTCTTTGTCTTCTTGGTGTGATTTTGGAAAGTCTTATATGTCTAGAAATGTATCCATATTGTGCTGGGGACATAACTCAGCTGGTAGAGTGCTTGTCTCCTATGCACACGGCCCTGGGTTCAATCCCCAACACCACCACCACCAAAAAAAAAAAAAAGAAACTATCAATTTTTTCTATTATAAGTTTTTCAAAACTGTCCCTAATAATCCTCTGGATTTCTATGATATCTGTAGTGATTTCCCCTTTTTTGTTTCTAGTTTGATTAATTTTCATCTTTTCTTTTTTTCTTTTGATTATTTGTCTAAGGGCTTCCCAATCTCGTGTATCTTTTCAAAGAACTAATTCTTGTTATTGATCCTTTTTTACTGTTGTTCTGTTCTATCTCACTAATTTCCCCTCTGATCTTAATTACTTATTCCCTTCTACTGGTTTTGGAATTGGTTTGTTCTTGTGTTTTCAAGGGTCTTGAGATGTACCCTTTGTTTATCTTGGATCTTTCTGATTTTCTAATATAGCACTCATAGTTGTAAACTTTTCTCTTAGAATTGTGTTCATATTGTTGCAGAGGTTCTGGTATGTTGTAATACTTTTGTTCTTTGTCTCTAAGAATTTTTAAATTTTTCCCGATTTCTTCTAGTACTCATTAATCATTCAAAAGTATATTGGTCAATCTCCACATGTTTAATAGATTCTGAAGACGTTTTTTGGTGTTGATTTCTAATTTCATTCCAATATGATCAAATAAGATACATTCCAATATGATCAAATAAGATTCTGACTTTTTAATTTGGTATGGGTTGCTTTGTGGCCTAATATATGATCTTTTTGTGGGAAATGTGCATGAACGGCTGAGAAGAAGGTGTATTTGACTATAGTTGGATGAAATAGAAGTCTGTTAAGTCCCTTTGATTTAAATCAAAGGGACTTAACAGACTTAAGTTATATATATATATATTTGGTTCAATGAATGTTTACTGAATTTAGATTTGGATGACCTATCTACGGTGAGAGAGATGATTACTGTACTAGGGTCTGAGTCGTGTGTAATGACTATTTTATATAATTAGGGGCACAATCTTTTAATTTCTAAATATTTATTATAGTTAATTTTTCTTGTTGGATTGATCTCTTTACCATTATGAAGTGACCTTTATCTCTTATGATTAATTTTGGCTTGAGGTCTATGTTTTGGGTGTGAGAGTAAAAACTCATGCTTTTAGTGGGTAGTTCCCTTGGCATGGTATATTCTTTTCCATCCTTTCGCTTACAGCCTGTGGCTGTCTTTGTCTGTATGGTAATTCTCTTACAACAACATGTAGTTGGGTCTTGTTTTTAAATCCATTCTGCCAGCCTATGTTTTTTAATTGGCAAGGTGAGACCATTTACATTTGATGTTATTACAGAGAGATGTCTATTAATTCCTGCCATTTTGATTTATTTCTAATGTTTAATTTGTCCTGTTTCTCATTTGCTTGGCAACTCCTCAAATGAGACTTATCCATTTATAAACTCTGGGGTTGGTTTTTATTTCTTCTGTGTGAATTATTGGCTTAAGTATTTCCTATACTCCCAGCAGAGGACTCATGAATTCTTTTTGTTTTTGCTTATCTTGGAATGTTTTTATTCCCACTTAGATTCTGAAGGAGAGCTTTGCTGTATATAGCCATCTTGGCTGACAGTGATTTTCTTCCAGAGCTTGGAGCACATCATTCACAGCCCTCCTGGATTTTAGTATCTGTTGAGAAATCAGATGCAATTCTGATTGACTTGCTTTTAAATGTGACCTGACATTTTTCCCAGAGGCTATTAACATTTTGTCCTTGCTTTCTATGTTAAGCATTTTAATTATTACATGTTCCTTTTTTTGGCTTGATGTTGTCTGTTTGGGGGTTCTCAATGCCTCCTGTATTGAATGTCCTTCTCATTCTCAAGGTTTGGAAAGTTTTCTATTATTTTCCTGAAGAGGTTTTCCATGCTATTAGCCTGCCTGTCACACCCTCTTCAATTCCAAGGATTCATAAATTTGCCTCTCAATGTTGTCCCAGCGTTTATGTATTCTGGTCACATTACTTTTTCTCTGTAATATTGTCTGAATGTTCAAGGCCTCCCACTTTGCTCTCAAGCTCTGAGATTCTGCTTTCAGATTGGCCAACTGTACTACAGAGACTTACAACTGAAGATTTTCTTTGACTTATTGTTTCTTCATT